AATGGATGGATGGATGGATTGTGATGAGTTGTCTGAGCCCCCAATAAAATGATTTAAAATTTAAAGTAAAATAAAATAATCCAATTTTTGCCATGGCTGCCGAAATGCCTTTCTTTCTTTTTTTTAACGACCTTTTGCTTTCTTCCTATAAGAAGTTCTTGGTGTCATCCCCCAGCACCTCGGGTCGTCTGTTACTCGTCCTCCCTGTGTCAAATATTTTCTTGAGATATTCTCACAGTGCAGGTGAGACCTATGAGTTCAGGTGGGACCTGCTGAGGGTCAGAACTGACTCGATAGCACCTACAACAACAATTTTTTTTGGAAGACTCCATAAAGGTGACTCACGGGCTTTCACTAACGTGGAACAGGGGCTTATCAGTAAACGTTAGATACATGGCTACATTTTGAGCGAGCACGTAACCATCAGCCCTAACCTCAGAACCATCAGTTCTCAGACAGCCCTGCTCAGTATTTACCCTCGTGACGTGATCAATGAAGACCCTTAGTGAGACATCGCTTACCTCGCATCCTCCCTGTACTTCTTCTTTCCAACCCTCCTTCTTTCCAAGCCCTTTCCAACGTGGCTCTTGATTCAATGCTCCCTTTTTCATCACAAAGGGTTGATTTTTCTACCACGTGCACCCCAAACCAACCTCACTGCCATCAAGTCAATTCCAAGTCATAATGACTGGCAGTGACGTAACCTGTCGTCAACTTGAGACTATTAACAGTGAAGGGGTGGAGGTTAGCCTGTCAATCAGGTTGCAGCGTGATGACCTCATTTGGAGGCGCTTAAGGAGATAAATAGCTCGCTGGAGGCCAGACCCACACGCTGCCTGCCAGACATTCCTGTTGACAAGCCACCTGGAGCTATGCTGATGGCAGCCAGAGCCTTAGAGCTGGAGGAGCCACATGGAGACCCACGCCAGCACTAAGATGCTTCCACCGCCTCTGGATCCACAAGACTTCCCACCGACTGGCCTGTGATCTTCCTGAACTTGGTGTCATGACGTATGTTGCATGAGTCTGAAGAGGAATTTCAGACTGGCATCAGACATATGGGCTCATATCAGATGTATGGACTTGATCTGGGCTGGGATGTTTTCTTAATGTACAATTGCTCTTTGAGATAAAGTTTTCTCTTACACACATATGGTGTCTGTTTCTCTAGTCAGCCCAGACTAACACAGTAACCCTGGAAAGGAAAGGTAGAACAGTCCCTGTGGGTTTCCCAGTAGTAACTCTTTATGGGAACAGAGAGCCTCATCTTTCTCCCGAGGATCAGCTGCTGGTTTCGAACTGCTGACTTTTGATTAGCAGCCCAATGTCACCGACTGGGACCCCAGGGCTCTCACTGTTATTGTTCCCTTTATAGACCTGTTTGGTTGGTTGGTTTTCACTAAAAACTGATCCATGGGAACACGTTCCTCTCCAGACCTGGAGGGTGCCTGCAGACCATAGTCTCAGCAGGTCCATGACTCAGTCTGACCAAGAATCCTGGTCTCCTTCATGATTTTGTGTTTTCTTCCATATTTTCCTCGCACTCTCTCCAGGACCTCCTAGTGTGATTCCTCTCGGAGCAGTGGGTATTGGTGGCCAGGCACCATGGGCTTCTTCTGGTTTCGCAGTCCTGGAGGTTGGTAATCTCACAGTCCATTAGTCCATTGGAATCACTGTTTCCATGTGTATTAGTCTAGGTACTTTGGAGAAACAAATCCACAGTAACTCACGTATAAGAGAGAGTTTTATGCAAAGAAAATGTGCATCACGAAAACATCCCAACCCAATGCTGCCCAAGCCCA